GGCCGCCGTGTGTCCTTCAAGCACGCCGTACTGCTCCTCTCGAAGCTGCTCGTCCAGTGCCACGGGCAGCGCCAGCGCAAGGCCGATGGCGCGAGCCGTGTCGGCCGCGCGGCTCAGGTCGCTACGCAGGCCATCGATCGCATGCCACGCCCGTCGTCGTACCTCGAGACGATCGCGTCAAAGGGCTGGGACGCATGCAGCGCGCGCAGATGGTCGCCAAGTGCTAGCGCCTGTGCCTCGCCGACCGCGCTTAGAGGCACGTCCGTCTGTCCTTGCCACCGCCCCTCGGCGTTCCACGCCGTCGCGCCGTGTCGGACCAGCCAGAGTTCCACCATGCTGAAACCCACTGTATCCGGATATATAAGGCGCCGATCAACCTCGATCACGAGCCGGTCCATCAACCAAGGACATGCAAGAGACGAGCACCCTTTGACGTATGAAGCTCAATAGATCGTGTTGCTCTCCGACGAGGCCTTAGACTACCTGCGCCGACCCATGCGCCTACAAGCGGGCGATGACAGCGTCCAGCTCATCGACGGTGCAGACGTGGAAGCCCTGGGCCGCCGTCACGATGGCGAGCTCGACGTTGATGCTCGAGAGCTTCTCCTCCATGTGCTGCATACATCGATGAGCCATCGCCCTCGATGCAAGAGGTTTACCTGTTTCAGGGTGCCGATCGCGAGCTTCTGGGCGTCCGCAAGCGACATGTTCTCGTTGTAGCTTTCCTTGAGGTTGTTCTGCGCGCCCTGCTGCCCCGAGCCGATGGCCTTGGCGTGCACACGGAGGTACGTGCCCGACGGGTCCGAGTAGAAGAGGTGCGGGCCCGACTCGTCGACGCCAGCGATGAGCAGCGCGACGCCGAACGGGCGGCTCATCTTCTGCTTGTGGCTGTTCTCGTCGCTGCCTTCGCCAAAGCTGAGCGCCAAGTCGCACACGGCCTGCGTCAAGGCGTTGACGCGAATGCGCTCGTTGTAGCTGAACCAGTGGTTCGTCGCCTCGACGCGGGCGTGGTCGATCAGCGTCCGCGCGTCGGCCGTGAGACCGCTCATGGCCACGCCAATGTGCGAGTCAACCTCCATGATCTTTTCGATGCTGCTGGGCTCGAGCAGCGGCGATGTGATGCGCTTCTCGACCGCCAAGACGACGCCCTCCGTCGTGCGGATGCCCACGGCCGTCGTGCCCATCTACGCAGCGGAGCATGCAGCTCGGCCCCACATGCAGAGGCTGTACCTTGATGGCCTCGATGGCGTACTCGACTTGGAAGAGGCGGCCTTCAGGGGAGAAGGTGTTGACACCGCGATCGTAGTCCGTCCTACGCCTGCATGAGCCTCGGCCGCGATGGCCATGCGCCTACTTGGTCTGGAACATCTTGCGGCCGCAATAAGAAAATCGCAAATTGGCCTTGGCTCCCCACATCAAACCCTGCGAGGATTTATATTTCAAGCGCAGCTCTCCGTATGCATTGCGCGCGTATATTGGTTTCTACAGGTCTTGGCCGGCTTTGACCACACTAGATCTAGGTTTCGTCCATTCATTGTCCTCGGGTATCATGTTCTACAGGATTTACAGCGTACAGGGCAAGATTGGCGTACTTAAGAAAACCTTTGGATCTTTCGCGTCTAAGTACGCTTTCAATGGCACCGAGCGTCGGGAGCGAGCGCCGCAGCGTCAATGGCTATGGTACATCTCCTGCAATTCGTGCTGGAGGTAGACGACGCATTCGTCCCAGCGAAACTGAAGCGACGCGGGCGAGCACGCTACTGCGTTGTCACCACAAGGCTATCGGAGCTCGCGGAATATCGGATGTCAGAGGTAAAATAGCACCGACAGTCTTGAGGTTGATTGGCTGCTAGGTGCGAAATCGAGTTTAAAAGGTTTTGTCCATGGTCGCACTTACAAGACATCAATATCTTGTTGGTGCAACTGGCGCCATGCGCTCGGACCCGCTGCAGGTCGGTGGCGCCTCCATGATCGCTGGGCGCATGCGCTGCGTAGGCGCACCTCAAGAAGCTCATCAAGGACGACCGCGATGTGTCGCAGCTCCGGGCCGAGTCGTCTGCGCTCCTCTGTACGTGCACCGCCGCCTCGCCTCGTCGTCTCATGCTGCGCAGGCGATGTCACGCGCGCCTTCGTGCTCGAGCTGGCCGAGCGCTTGGTCAGCGAGCTCCGCGCCAGCGGCAACCTGTCGCCCGACGCCTTGTACGCTA